AGAAAATTAAGACACATATCAAACAAAATTTTGAATAGAAAGCAAATAAAAGAAAAAAAAAGAAAATTCCACACGGTATTATTGTTCATTTTTTTCCTCACTTGACTTAGTCAAGCAATAGTTTCTCTCATTGGAAAATTCTTAGAAGTTCTGCAGAAATTTTTTCCACATAATGGGACCAACTTCACATCATCTTGCCTAACACACACTGGAGCGATTGTTAATGACCTCGAAATGAACTTAACATCTAGAGAAAATTAGGACATAGAGAGTATTATTTTGTTAAGTCTTCTCCGTCCTCTAAAAAGTCTTGTGGAACACTACAAAATATGAGTAACAAGTTGTTAGAAGTGAGTAGTACTCATCTATGGACCACAAGTTGTGTAGTTGGTGATGTGAAAGTGGTACTATCTACCAACGTTGACTTAAAGACTTGAGTTAACACTTGGGACAACTTTTTTTGCAACCACAAATTAGTTAGTACCCCATTTTATACATCATAGTCTCATGCATAGACAAGTCAACAACGTTACTTTATAAAATAGTGTTTAGTTAACTTTTTGCTTTATTTAATATGGAGGTCGTTGTAATATTTAAGAAATAAAATAGTGTTTAGATAATTATAGCATTCTTTCTTACATGACTACTTATTTTATTGACTTATTTATATATTGACGATCATCATGAACCCATATTATTATTTTTACCTTTTTATTCCTATTACTATTTTTATTTATTCATTATTGAATATTCTAAAGCCTACCAAACGATAAAACCTTTTGCATTATGCAAAATAAATTGTTGGGTGTTAAAAAAAAGATCAAATTTTCCACACTTCTTGAGAAATGTAAAGACACTTGTGTACTTGGATATTTCTACCAATAATATTTGTGGTCAAATCCCTAACTGGTTTAGCGGAATGAGGTGGGACTCGTTGCAGTTCCTAAACCTTTCTCATAATTTATTAACAGGCCACCTACCACAATTCCATTATTATAGTCTAGAGTATCTTGATCTGAAATTTAACTCCCTTCAGGGTCCACTACCTTCATCCATTTGTAACATGAGCTCGCTTGAATTTCTTGATTTATCACGCAACAACTTCAGTGACTCAGTTTCACATTGCTTGGGAAGCATGGCTAATCTAACGGTGCTAGACTTAAGAAGGAACAATTTCACAGGGAGTCTTCCCCCATTATGTGCATAGAGCACTTCATTGAGTACCATTGTCATAAATGGTAATCAATTTGAAGGACCTGTACCTGTGTCGTTGCTCAAGTGTGGTGGTCTAGAAGTACTTGATGTGGGGAACAATGCTATAAATGACACGTTTCCAGCTTGGCTCGGAACTCTTCAAGAGCTACAGGTCCTTATATTAAAGTCGAACAAGTTCCATGGACCTATAAGTACGTGTCAGACTAAGTTTTGCTTTCCCAAGTTGTCGAATTTTTGTATCTTTCTCGTAATGATTTCAGTGGCTCACTTCCTGCAAAAGTTTTTGGAAACTTCAAGGCAATGATTAAATTAGAGGGTGAAGACACGGAAGAGATCAAGTACATGGAGTTGATTTTGTCATTTGACACATCGTATGAGGATTCAGTGAGTTTGGTGATCAAAGGGAGGGATATTGAGCTAGAAAGAATCAGCACAATTATGACAACCATTGATCTCTCAAGCAACCATTTTGAAGGTGTCATTCCGAAAACACTAAAGGATCTCAGCTCACTTTGGCTACTCAATTTATTCCATAACAATCTCAGAGGTCATATACCAATGGAATTGGGGCAATTGATACGCTTGAAGCTTTAGATCTCTCCTGGAATCTGCTCACTGGAAAGATTCCACAGGAATTGACAAGATTGAACTTTCTGGCCTTCTTAAACGTCTCTCAAAATCATCTCGTTGGACCAATTCCTCAAGTTCGACAATTCAACACATTTGAAAATGACTCATATGGTGGCAACCTTGATTTATGTGGTGTTCCTTTAACAAAGAAATGTGGAACGAGTGATTCATCGCATGTTCCTCAACAATTGGAGTCCAAAGAAGAAGGCGAGTCATATTTTTTTAGTGGATTTACTTGGGAATCAGTAGCCATAGGCTACAGCTGTGGACTAGTTGTTGGAACTGTCATGTGGAGTCTCATGTTTAAGTATCGTAAGCCAAAATGGTTTGTGAAATTTTTTGATGGACTCATGCCTCACAAAAGAAGAAGGCCAAAGAAGAGAGCTCAGAGATGACGGACTTAATGGAAGATTGAGAGGGCCAATTGGTGAACTTTTCTGGTTCTGTTTTTATCTATTAGAAACATAATTATATGTGTGGTATAATTCAAGTTAAGTTACTCTGCTTGTTGTGGAAAATATTATTGAATTTCTTACAAGGATAAGGCATTTCACTTTCTAGTTCTGAGTGTTTAAAAGCAAATTGAACAAAATTTTCAACTCTTTTTAAGTAAATATCGGTCGATCTGTCGGTAGCACAAAGTTTCTGGCAGTCTTAAACCTCTGTCACAATCTTCTTGCTGGACAGATTCCTCAAGGTCTACAATTGATCAACACATTTGAAAATGACTCATATGGTGGCAACCTTGATTTATGTGGTCCTCCTTTATCAAAGCAATGTGGATCGAGTGATCCATCACATGTTCCTCAACCATTAGAGTACGAAGAAGAACATGCAATAGGGCTAGGTTAATTTGGGATCCGGATTGAGTAGTGGCATGGAAACGACTCCATCAAAAAGGGTAGTGCAATGTGATTCAGGAATTATGCATATTGGAGAAAATGTTTGTCCTCTCCTCTTCTTCTAGAGTCTAAGCTTCTCATTTCCATTTTTCTCTCTATCTTTAATTCTCGTTTTTTCAATATTTCCATTGTAATTCGGTAGTTTGATTATTGCAATTAGAATCTTAAGGTTGTAATAGTGTTCCAGTGCTCTTATTAATATAGTGAGGATTTGGGTTCGTTACACATGTTCCTCAACCTAGAGTACGAAGAAGATGAAGATGAGTCATATTCCTTAAATGGATTTACGTGGGAATCTGTAGTTTTAGGCTACAGTTTTGGACTAGTTGTTGGAACTGTCATTTGGAGTCTCATGTTTAAATACCGTAAACCAAAATGGGTTGTGGAACTTTTTGATGCCTACGTGCCTCGCGAAAATAGATGGCCAAAGAAGAGAGCTCAGAGACAAAAAACGGACTTCATGGAAGATTAATGGGGCCAACTTGTCAAGTAATATACTTTATAAATAATTACTCTAATAAGTAATGCTGGAATAATCCCATGAATACTGTTCTTTTACTTTGTCTGAAGTTTCTCTTTGTTATTTGCATCTGTTAGATACCTCTGAATTATTTTTAGCATTTGCTTCGACTACTGAATTGAAGTAAGCTTAGGACCTCAAGGAGGTTGAGGCGATTCTAAAATGTCTAGAAGCAAATATGGGGAAAAATATATTCTTCTGAATTTGCCACATAGAGACAAAACAAATGATATTTTCTCAAGGTACACACAACCCTCCCCAGACCCCCACTTATGGGATTACACCGACTATGTTGTTGTTATTACACTGTTTCACTTGCAAAACACTTTTGTTAAGATGTATGTTGAACGCCTAAAGACATCACATCATTCAGCGACAAATTAGACCTAAAGAATAAGGCGCAAACCAGTCGTTACAAACAACTAGTCTAGGAGGTCTTACTGTTGTAAAATTTGTGGTGTGTTTGGTAAGTAAAATTACACCTACTGTCGCGTTTATTACGACCTGAGTAAATTTTTTTTGTGGAAAACAGCACAAGAGACAACGCAACTAATCGGAAATTTCTCAGCAGGTGAAATGATCTTCACCAAGTTATTCAAAACATACTAATTATGCAGGAATATCAAACAAAATTCTGAATAAAAGAACAAAAATAAAATTATGGTGGTGGACTTAAATCATGTCTTCAATTATTGTTCATTTTTTTCCTCACTTGACTTAGTCAAGCAATAGTTTCTGTCATTGGAAATTTCTTACAAGTTCTGCAGAATTTCTTTCCACATATATAATGGGACCAATTTTCACATGCATCATCTTGCATAACACACACTGTAGTGACAGTTAATGACCTCGAAATGAACACAACATCTAGAGAAAATTATGACATACAGAGTATTATTTTGTTAAGTCTTCTCCATCCTCGAACAAGTTGTTAGAAGTGACTAGTCAAGTGATGCCAAAATTGGACAAAACAAATATATTGGTACTATCAAACAAGATTTAAAGACTTGAGTCTTTCTGGAAATAGACTTAACACTTGGGACAATTTTTTTGCAACCACAAATTAGTTAGTGGTAGATGGGGGGAAAGCACCCCATTTTATTTGTCTGGATGCATGTGTTTCTTTTCTTTCGTTAATTTACACACTACACCAAAAGAGACCTTTAGCGACAATTGATTTTTCTTTTAGCAGCAATATTTATTGCCACAAATACATTTACCGGCATTTGATTAAATATCATTGGATCCAATGTCACTTTAGCCTTTAGTGACATTTATGTCGAGTGCCGGTAAAGACCCTTATTATTGCCACTAAAAGTAATTACTTTTACCGGCCTTTACTACTGCCATTAAACTACCTTAGAAACAAGAATTAATATCTCATATTGTCACTGAAGTAATACTTCTTTTCATAGAAAGTCACTCAACTTTCATTTATAACCTCAAAGTCGCTCAATTATGGATTTTTTTCTCACAAAAGTCACTCAACTAATAGTTATTTTCACGGAAAGTCACTCAACTTTCTTTTATAACCCCAAAGTCTCTCAACTATGAATAGTTTACTTACAAAGTCACTCAACTATTGATATTTCATTTAGAAAGTCACCCAACCAATTTAAATATGTTTTCATTAAATTTTGTTGAAAATTAATTTTTTTTTTAAAAATAATATTAAGATGCTCATTTTAATTATTTTATTAAATTTATTAAAACACAATTTTTGTTTTAAACTAATTTCTTAAAAAATAATAAGATTCTCATTTTAATTATTTTATTAAATTTATTGAAACACAATTTTTATTTTAAACTGATTTCTTAACAAAAACAAATAGTAAGACACTCATTTTAATTATTTTATTTAATTTTGTTTAAATACCAATTTATTAAAACGATTTTTTAAATAAAAATGTTACGCTGCCAGGCACCAGCACTAGTAACGGTGGATGCAGTGCAATACATCATTTTCGATTAAAAAAATCCTATCGTGTAAATCTTATTATTTTTGTATTAGGTTCACAATAGTTATTATTTCTCTAAAAATTAGTTTAAAACAAAAATTGTATTTCAACAAAATTTAATGAAAATATATTTAAATTGGTTGGGTGACTTTCTAAAAGAAATATAAATAGTTGAGTGACTTTGTAGGTAAAATATTCATAGTTGAGTGACTTTAAAGTTATAAAAGAAAGTTGAGCGACTTTCTATGAAAAGAACTATTAGTTGAGTGATTTTCTGTGAGAAAAATCAATAGTCGAGTGACTTTAAGGTTATAAATGAAATTTAAGTGATTTTCTGTGAAAAGAAGTATAAGTTGAGTGACCATATGAGATATTAACTCTTAGAAACAAGCATATTTGTCACTTTTTCTATTGCCGGCAAAGATAATAATTGTAACTCAATTATTGTAATGACTTAAAACTAATCATAAATTCACCTTAATTCACATATTTAACCCTCTTTAGCAATTTCTAAAAGCCCATTAAGTTTTGGCATCTATATTTGGGTCATTCACCATGACGTTAAGGATTCAAAAAATTTCTTTCCATATGACATTCATATTTAAACAAATTTAAATTATATATACCAACAATATGAAGTCTACCATAAGTATTGTAGTTAGCATCTTGTTTACCTTGATTTGCAGGTTATTAATTTCACTTATAATGAAGAGTCATCTATAGTTACTTTAGATGAGTTGATAGTAAGAAAATTTCTTTAAAGCTCTAGCATACAATTTTTCGAGAAACAAAAAATATAACAAACGGAGAAAAGCCTAAAATATCTTCGAACTATTGGAAACAAAGATACACATCACTCTCTTCAGACCCCACTTGTGGGATTACACTAGGTATGTTACATTGTTACTCTGTTTCACTTACAAAACACTTTTGTTAAGACGTATATTGAATACCTAAAGAATAAGGCGCAAACAAGTCGTTACAAACTACTAGTCTAGCAGGTCTTACTGTTGCAAAATATCATATTTTTCTTTTTTCCCATCAGTAGTCTTTGTGGAAATTTATAGACAAGTTTGTAAAACAGACTAATCAATTACTTGGAATGATCTTCAACAAATTATTCAAATCATACTAATTAAGCAGGAAAACACATATCAAACAAAATTTTAAATAAAATTCCACACGGTATTATTGTCTTCAATTTCTTCCTCACTTGACTTAGTCAAGCAATAATTTCTGTCATTGGAAATTTGTCCCAAAATTCTGCAGAAATATTTTTTACAGTGAGTGTTACGTAACAGGATCTATTCACATCATCTTGTGTAACACACACTGCAGAGATATATGGTCGATGACCCCGATGTGAACAACAACATTTAGAGAAAATGAGGACATAGGAAATATTAGGCCAATCACATATGCAGACCTTTAAATTTGTCCTTAAATTTCATTTTGGCACTCCAACTCAACCTTGATCCATTTTAATCGTTTAACTACAATTTTTATATTTCATTTAGGCTCTTCTAAGTAATGTGGCAGAGTGTGTGCATCATGCTTTCTCTAAGAGAGTGAAAGACAAAAAAAAGTATTTTTTCTTTTAAAAAATAATAAAAGATTAACCCTTCAACTCTATTTTTTTAATGTACCATTTAAACACAAATACTAATTTCATGATTTCTTTATTTCTATATAAGGCGAGTCATATTTTTTTAGTGGATTTACGTGGG